TCTGGACCCCTTACCATGAGATGAGGCTCCTAGCCTCCCCACGGAGCCAAACACTGCCCTGCGGGAGCGCACAGCCCCGGCCCCCAGAGTGCTGCGCGCGTGACGGCATGGCTCCAGGGGAGGGGGGAGCGTGTCTGCCTCCCTGCAGAGCTGGCCCCCAGAGTGCTGCATGCCCGGCGGCATGGCTCCAGGGGAGGGGGGAAGGCGGGAGAGGTGCCGGCGGCTTGCTGCACTCAGCCGGGCACTCCAGCCCGGGAGCGCAGACCCCGCAGCTTGCTGCGCCGGGAGAGGGGGGCCATTTGCCCACCCCTGCATTAGGGTGTGCCTGGGCACACCCGGCACACCCTGTGCGCACGTCTATGGCTGGGAGTCAAGACCTCGGGGTTCTATCCTAGCAGTGGGAGGGCTGGTGGTTAGAGCAGGGGGCTGGGAGTCAGGACTCCAGGGCTCTAGTCCCAGTTGCATCTGGAGGACACATGCTGTTGAAGGCCTGGCAGAATGGCAGCTGCCCCCTCCAGCAAGGACTCAGTCCTGTTGGGAGCAGGGGGTGCTTTGGCAGCACAGCCCATCCTCTCTGCACTTAAGAAGCAGCTTGGTCTCCAGGCCTCCTCTCAGGCTCTGCCCCAGAGCCCTGCTTTTCAAGGCAGCTCCGTTGATCTCTGACACGTGCTGGCAGGAGCAGGGCACACTGCCCCTGCTCCTGTTCATTGGTATGCCCAGACCCTCTCGGCATGGCCGACATGGGCACCGCTCGCAGCCCCTTCCGCAGAGGTACAGCACTGCTAAAGCAGTAGGTGCTCTCCACCCACAGCTTGTGCTGTGGAGCCTTGCAGACCATGCCCCCAGCACTGCCTGCGACAGAACGCCTCTACTGAGCTCCTACCCTGCGCCTTGCAGCCCCCTGCTCCTGCCTGCCAGCACCCCCTGCTGGCCTCCCACCCCACTCCCTGCAGCACTGCGCCTCCTAGTGCAGCACAGACTGCAAGGGAGAGCACCCCCTACTGTCCCCCCTACTAGCCAAGCCCAGCGCTGCTTAGCTGGGGAATTGCAGCAGGATGCCACTTGCCGTAAGTCCTTCGCCATCTCAGTCGCTATTTCAAGCGGCCAGTGACCAACGGGGAAGCGGCTCAAGAGCCCTGGAGGACCTGATTGAGAGCACTCGCCCCAGGAGGACCTGATTGAGAGCACTCGAGGCGGAGAGCCCTTGGAGGCGTGAGTGTGCTGTGCAGGAGAGGCCTTGGGTGGGGAGGGAGCCTGTTGCATCTCCTATTAGCTCCAAAGGAAGCCAGACTGGGAGAGTTAATGAACAGCTGGGGGGATGGGGAATCCCCCAGGGGCCTGCATCCAGGGCTGACCAGAGGATTCAGGGGCCCCTTCCATAAAAAAAAAGTTGCAATACTATAGAATACTATATTCTCATGGGGGCCCGTGTGGGGCCCAGGGCTTGAGGCAAATTGCCCCACTTGCCCCCCCTCTGGGCAGCCCTGTCTGCATCTGCCCCACCCTTTCTGTATCCTCACCTCACCTGCCCTTCCTGGTCATACCCTGTAAAGGGGATCCTGGAACCAACCCCCTAAAATCCTCTCAGGATTTGCCTTCAAGCAATGACTCTTGGGGCCAGGGACTCCTAGATGCCCCCTGCTTTTCAGAGCAGGCCTCTGCCTTTCTGAAGGACAGGAAGGGAGGGGTGGTGGCTCATGAGGTAGCTGGGGATTAAATGCAGGAGAAGGGGGGGATCAGATACAGATGGGTGAGGGTGAACCAGAACAGCTGGCCGCAGAAGAGGCACGGATTAGACACAGCTGGGGTGGGGGGGGTGAGAAATGATCAGTCACAGATGGTTATTTGCAGGGGGGGGTCAGACAGCTGGCTGGCTGTGCAGGGAGAGGGGCGATCAGACACGGCTGGCTGTGTGCTGTGTGGGGAGGGGGGATGATCAGACAGCTGACTACAACAGGGTGAGACACATCTGGCTGCGGGTGGAGGGATCTGTCATAGCTGGCTGTGTGCAGAGGGGAGGGGCGACGATCAGACACAGCTGGCTGCGGGTTGGGGGGATTTGTCACAGCTGGCGGTGTGCAGGGGGGATCAGTCACAGCTGGCTGCGGGTGGGGGGGTGATCAGACACAGCTGGCTGCGGGTGGGGGGATTTGTCACAGCTGGCTGTATGCAGGGGGGGAGGGCGATCAGACACAGCTGACGGGGGGGGGGAGAAGGTGAGAAATAGACCCAGTGGCTGAGGGGGGATGATCAGACCGCTGACTGCAGGGTGAGGATTAGACACAGCTGGCTGCGGGGGAAGGGATTAGACCTAGCTGGCTGCAGGAGAGGGGAGGCATTAGACACAGCTGGCTCCATGTGAGAGGGGCTAGCTGTGTGATTGCAGGGGGGTATCACCCCCCTCCACACACACTCTGCAGTGCTTCCACATTGCCGTTCCTGCTGCTGTGCCAGGGCCTTGATTGATTCCCTGCCCCGGGGTCCCTGTCCAAGTCTTTGTTATGCTAATTCCGACACGCTGAGCATGATCTGCACAGCCAGCTCTGGAATACTGATTGCTGGGGAGCGGGCCTCTCCCTTCCCACACCACATGGCACCCTCGCTGGATGGGGAACAGGGAGATGAATAGCTAGGAGCCAGACCGAGCCAGCCCAGTATCCCCCTGGCCCAGCTCAGAGCAATGGGTTAGCAGCCCAGTGTCCCCACCTCCCTTCCATCCCAGATCAGACCGATGGGCCCACCTGGCCCGGCATAGATGAGATTGGGGCACCATTGTGTTGGGTGCTGCACAGACACAGACAGACCCTGTCCCAAAGACACAGGATTGGAGAGGAAGTAGGGGCAGGGGGTGGGGGGAAGGAGTCACTTAAAGTCAGTGGCAGAGGCAGAAATAGACCCTATGAATCCTGACTCCCAGCTCCCCCAACAATTAGGCCCCCTTCCCCTCCCAGAGCCAGGGCTAGAATTCCGGAGTCCCAGGCCAGTGTCTAGCCCAAGGGTAGGCAACCTATGGCACGTGTGCCAAAGGCGGCACGCGAACTGATTTTCAGTGGCACTCACACTGCCCGGGTCCTGGCCACAGGTCCGGGGGGCTCTGCATTTTAATTTAATTTTAAATGAAGCTTCTTAAACATTTTAAAACCTTATTTACTTTACATACAACCATAGTTTAGTTATATATTATAGACTTATAGAAAGAGACCTTCTAAAAACGTTAAAATGTATCACTGGCACGCGAAACCTTACATTAGAGTGAATAAATGAAGACTCGGCACACCACTTCTGAACGGTTGCAGAGCTCTGGTCTATCTACAAGGCTCCCAGACTCAACCACGGCTGCTCGCCAGCCAAGCCATGTGTCTGACCCAGTGGGACCGCACAGCACGGTCTCCCCCTTGCTTTGCACTGCACCGGGATGTGGGAGACGCATGCCAAGGGGACTGGCCTGGCATAGCAACCTGTGCTGGCCTAGCCCTGCGGCGTACCACCGGCCTGCACTGCCAGAAGAGGTTTTTCCCGTCAGTGTAGGCACACCGTCTCTCCGAGCCATTCTTCCCACTGCCTCGCTGCGTCTGCACCGGATAGCTATGGGGGCCAGGGCGGGGTTCACACCCCTGCACACCAAGACTGTGTGGACCTAAATTTGACGTGGTGCCCAGGCCTCAGAGAACTGACTTTGAGGCACGAGGTTCTACCATGGGTGGTGGGGACCAAAACATGAGAGTGTTTAAGGAGCGCCCAGGCCTGGCTGGCTCAGGGTGTGAGGAATGATCCATGAGCTCCTCCCCCTCCAGGGGGCACTAGCTCCAGGCTGGCCCCAGGCTGGGGGGCTGTGTGCAGGGAGGGCGTGCCCTGCACCACCTCACTGAGCTGTGCTCTCCTCTCTCCCCAGAACACAGACGACCTGTTGGTGGCGTCAGCTGAGTGCCCCAGTGATGATGAGGACCTGGAGGAGTGTGAGCCCAGCACAGGTGGGTCCTTCTCTCTGCTGCCGGCACGTGTGGGTGGGGGGCTTCTACAGGGTGCACTGGACACACACCCTGACACACTGTCCCCGCTACACACGCACACCCTACATACACCCTGGCAAAGACACACATCCCACACACACCCTGACACACTGTCCCCCCATATCTCCTACACACACACACAGCCACACACATACACCCTACACACATCCTGACATACTGTTCTCCCTACACACACACCGACGCACTCTAACCTCTACACGCACTCACTCCCTACACACATATTAACCTATATACATTGACACACACATCCCTTCACACACACACACACACACACACATTCCTGCATGCATTGAGGCACACACACACTTAGGTGCACTCACACACATGCACCAAAGGTACACACTCACCCACACATCCCTGTGTATGCACACAGAAACACACATGCACAGGCACAAACCTCTGCGCACACACTGACACACAAACTCCTGTTCATGAATGTAAAAACCTACACAATCTCTGTGCTCATGTGTGCACACAGACACCCCTTTGAACTCACACAAACACCTGTTGGTGACCTGACACATTGCTACATGCACACCAAGACACATCCCTGTAAACTCATAAAGCTACACACTTGTGTACACTCACACAAAGACACAGCCTTATGAACTCACATAGTGCTACACACACACGCAAGCACATCCCTATGGATACCTGCACAGAGAGACACAATTCTATGAACTCATCCAGCACTACCCTCTCACCTCTATGCACACACAAATAGAGAGAGAAACCTGTGAACTCACACAGCTGCACTCTTGTGCACCCCCCCGATAAACACTGCTCCCAACACACACACCCTGATGCCCCCTTAAACTCCCCACCCCCAGTTTTATGCTGCATTACACTAACCCATTGCCCTTCCCCACTGATCAGGTCCCCAGTATCACACCTGTATTTAGCAGGCACCATCCCCACACCCTTAGACACCTCAGGGTCTGGCTGGCCCAACACATTCAGCCCCAGGCCTCCCTTACCATCCTGTCTGCCTTTCTCCAGGCAGGCGGCAGGTGCAATGGCTCCCCCACACCTCGCTGCTGCTCCAGGATTTACAGGACCTAAGAGTTAGCTGGAGCCACCCCTCCCCAATCACACAAATCAAAGCCCAACTGGGGAAAGTGGGAATAGAACTCAGGAGTCCTTGCACCCAGCCCTCAACCCCTGCTCTAACCACTAGACCCCACTCCCCTCATGGAGCCAGGAATAGAACCCAGGAGTCCTGGCTTCCAACCCCCACTGCTCAAAGCACTGGATCCCACTCCCCTCCCACCACACAGATTCAGGCCCAGCTTGTGAAGCATCCCTTTATTACCTCCTTTCCCATTTGCTGACTGAATGAAAGGGCCTTTAGTGGTTCAGGAAGCATTGCTGTAATAGACTGTTGAGGAGCTGCTGCACCCCACCCTAGAGGTGGTTGCATCTGAGCACCAGGCAGGGGATCCCCATATAAACAGCCCCTATTCTCTACACCAGAGGTGGCTGCATCTCCGCACTGGAGGAAAGATCCCTGTGTAAACAGCCAGCATTCCAAGGCGGCTGCATCTCCGCACTGAGTACTAAACCAGGGCTAGGGAAACCTAAGAGGTGGACACTCCCTCCTTGAGCAGGGAGGTTATGCAGAAGGAAGAAGAGGTTTTACCTCTGGCTTGCTGGAAGCTGGCTTTGCTCCTTTGTGCCATGTTGTCATTTATGCTGCAATTGGGGAATCCCTCGGGGAGAAGTACCCTGCTGGGAGCGGGGAGGCTGGTGTCCAGGGCCTCTAAACCCCTCTCCACTCCTCACAAAGAGCGGATGATGCAGGAGGAGGCAGAGGGAGGCAGTGATTAATGGGATCTTGGAGGACTTTGAGAGCTTTGATTGGCCCCAGCTCATGTCGCCAGGCTGAGAGGATGGAAAGTGTCAGGTTCCCAACTGATCCCTAGAAATGCTCCCCTCCACCGTGCCATTAGCCAGCGGAACTCACTGCCACAGGATCTACCCAGGAGTGAGAGCTTAGCCACGTTCCAACGAGGGCTCAGGACTTTAGACAGATACCGGACTGTGCAGAGGTAGAATTCAGCGGCTATGGAAGTAACTGAACTCCTCCGGGTGGGACCAGCTGGGGGCAGGGGGACCCATCACTGCAGGGTTCTTTGAACCTGCTTCTGAAGCAGCTGGCGCTGGCCACTGTCGAAGATGGGGTACTGGGTTAGCAAACCTGTTGGGCTGATCCAGCACGGTGGGCATGTGGGTTATTGGACTGATTTGGAGTGACAAGGGACATTGGGTGATACCAGGCGAGAGCAGCTCATTGGTCTGATCCAGGGGGGAGTGGGGAGGATACTGGGCTGGATGGGCTCGTTGGTCTGATCCGGAGTGGTGAGGGAGAGAGGAAGGATAGTTCAGTTGCTCAGGTGACTAGGGAGACCTGGCTTCAATTCCAGATCCAGGGCAAGAGTGCCCCCTATTGAGCCCTCCACCCCACTCCCTGCAGCACAGCGCCCCCCAGCACTGACTGCAAGGTGAACTTCCCAGCCCCTTGGGTTTGTCCTGCCATTCTCCCTACCAGCGCAATGACCCAACTTAGCCAGGAGGAGCCGCTGTCTCGCGCAGGTTTGTTCTTTTGCGCCAATCCCCTCTGTGGCCAAGTGCTAAGATCTGACAAGATCACAGCCAGAGTTGTTATGGCCAGAGGCATAGAACGAGAGCAGGAAGAGAGGGCGGGGAGTAGTGAGGAAAGAGCCATAAATCCAGGCAGAGAGTGAGTGGAGCAGAGAGCCACATCCATGGGAGACACTGCATTGGCTGCAGGCAGAATCCCGCCATCCCTGCAGAAACACACCCAGCCACAGATTGATGTGGCTTTGTGTCCTCTCTAAATGGAATGGAAATCACAGCATGGGCTGGTGGGGGTAGATCCCACACTCTCATTGACCCCCCTCCATCTGCCCAGCATCCACACCGGTGATTGCTCTTAACCCCCTCCTCTCCACCGCACTATCTGTTCCGCATCACCCAGGCCGTGGTGGGGCATGAAATTTACGCTGTCTCCTCCCTGATGGGAAGCAAGGGGGGATTTATGAGCCTGGCAGTGCAGGGAGCGCCTGGTGCTGCACTGGGCCTGGTTCATTAGCTCCATTCTTTATTGTCTGGGGAGCACCAGGACCCTTCAGTGCATGTTTATTTCCTGTGCCAGGGATGAGTCGGCCTCCCCCCTTATGTGTGAGATTTCCCAGAGCCAGGCTCCCTGCACCCACACACACACGGCCCCACGCTGGCCAGCATGCCTCCCTATGCTCTGGAGAAACCCTGCTCACCCCCCATTCAGTCTCTCTGCCAGCCAGGGACCAGTTAGATGGCATTCTGAGCTGCACCAGGCAGGCATTACATGGGCGTTGGGTGGGAGATGTTGGTTGCACATCTAGCCCTCACTGGCCAGAGGCTGTAAGGAGTTCAGTAGGGGATGCTTTCATGTAGAAGTCAGATCTGATCCCCACCTGATGCTAGGGGGCGCAGTGCTGAAGGGAGCAGAGTGGGGACTCAGCAGGGGGCCCTCTGACTCCAGCATGACACTAGAGGGGCCGTGATGCAGGGAGCAGGGTGGGTTGTTCAGCAGGGGGCACTCACTGGAGTCAGTGTAGCTACTGACTTATCCCAGCTAAGGTTCTGGCTCATGGCCTAGTTTTCAGAAGCATGGCTCACCTTCAATCCCCACTACCGTCGCTGGAGACTCAGGCCCCTGTAACAATATCCCGGTGCTGCTGATTTCCAATGCATCATTTCGCACAGCCGGAAGGGCATAAAACCCAGCTGCATTTCTCTGTGCATTTACAGTGCACCCCCACACAGCTGGAGCGGCAGAAGACACATCTGTACCCTTCAGTCCTGCTGCCGTGCTCACGCATGGCTGTAACTGGGGCTTGCGTACATCACAGCAGCAGTGAGAGGCTCTGACCACTGGGGTCCCCATTGTGCCAGGAGCGGGACAAACCCCCAGTGACACAGAGTCTCTGCATAAAGAGCTCACAGGCTGAATAGATGAAGGGAGGGAGGAGAAGCAGAGGCACCAAGGGGAAGGGACCACCGCAAGGGCAATGGCAGAGGGGGGAATAGAACACAGGAGTCCTGCCTCCCAGCCAGTGCTCTATCCACTATATCTGCTGCTGCTCTAGCAGTCAAGTGACAAACACTGAGGGGATATTTCTGTGATAAAATTCGTTTCTTTTCACTCTTTGCCCAGCTCCCTCTGTATTTCAGCTGTCAGTGCCCTCCCCCACCCCTGAATGCAAATGGTACCATACCCAGCTGTATAACTGGCTTGCAGTTACATGTCTATCCAATGGGCTTTTGCAGATCTACATTGCCTGGTGTCTACCTGCAAGCCACTGATATGCTGCACACCCCTCTGTGGGACTAGCACCCCTCTGGGTTCCTCCTCTAGTCTTGCCTCTGGGTTCCTCCTCTAGTCTTGCCTCCAGGTTCACACACATCTGTAATTTGGACAGCACACATCTGTGCTGTTAGGGCACCAAGCTTAGTGGGCGTGTGCCCACGCCGTGCCCACTCTGCTCACAAGTGTGAGTCCATGCATACATGCATCCCTGTAGGAGGGTCCCATTTTCAGCAGGAGCTGCAGGGGGTGCTCACCCCCTCAGGTTGTGTGACTGGAGGCATGAGATGGACAGACCTCCCAAGGATCCGCTACCAAGGAACTTCAGGAGCAGAGCCCCAGATGATGCAAATCAACCGCTTCTTAATTATGCCGTAGTGCCTAGAGATTACAACTGAGATCAGGTCCCCATCAGGCCAGGTGCTGCGCAGGCTCAAAGGAAGAGACAGTCCCTGCCCCCAGGAGCTCAGTCTGACTAGACAAGGGTGGGAGGGGAAACAGAGGCATCAAGAGGGGAAGGAACGTGCCCCAGATCAGTGGCAGAGCTGGGAATAGGATGGAATCCAGGAGT